TCAGGTGTGACTTTCAAGCCACTGGGTTCAGGACTCGAACTGTGGTTGGTCATATGGGAGTGTAGCAATGTAACTGCTACACCATTTGCTGGTCCCTATGTCTACTTAATTTTTTTTTTTATCAAAACTTGGGAACCAGCAGTTAGCGTATGGACTCCCACGTAGTCGACCACAGTTCGCGTCCCGGACCGAGTGGCTTAAAACTCACGCCGGGCGCGTGTGCGTGCGTGCCCAAGATCCCGAGAGGAGAATGGAGGAGAAGGGATTGCGGCGTGACCATCCCCCCTGGGGGGTGATTTCTCGCTTTCTGTCTGTCTGTCTCTGTCTGTCTGGCTGGCGAGCGCACGCGCCCTATAGTGAAAATCTCTCCCCAAAAAAACACCTAAAAACAAAACTCTATTTTATGAGTCTGATCTAATTTAATAATGGGGGGGAGCTCTTTTTTTTTTTTTCTAGAGGACGTGTGTGCTCACCAGAGACAGAGAGAGAGCACCTCCCCTTGGAGCGTGGTCATGCCACAATCCTTTGTCCTCCATTTCTTCATCCTGTTAAGATTTTGAGTGTGTGAGCACACACACAGACACACCTGGACTTTTTTTTTTTAGGTTTTTACCGTAGGGCGAGTATGCTCACCAGAGAGGCAGAGAGAGACACAGTGAGAGGGAAAGTGAGAAATCATCCTCCATGGGGAATGGCCATGCTACAATCCCTTCTCCTTCACTTTCCTCCTGGGATTGTGGGTACACATGCACACATGCCTGGCATGATTTCCAAGCTGCCAGGTCCTGAACTTGAATCACGATTGGTAGCGTGGGAGTCCACTGCCTTAACCACCACGCCACCTGCTGACCCCGCCTGTCATGGTTTTTAAGCCACTTAGATAAGAACACAAACTGTATAGTCAGCTATGTGGGATTCAGCTTCCTTAACTGCAAAGCCAGAGGGCTGGCCCTGCAATGGTTACTTTTATGTGTCAACTTGATTGGGCTGTGGGATGCCCAGATAGCTGGTAAAACATTATTTCCAGGCCGGCTCCATGACATAGAGGTAATGTCATGCTGGAGAGAGGCCAGATCCAGCATGTTCGAATCCCTGGCTTGGTCAGCCTGAAACACACAGATAAGCACTGGTGAGGCCAAGATCCAACAAGAGAGGGGACTGGAGGAAGGAGGTCGTGATGGAACCACACCCCACGGAAGAGGCTTTTCTCTCTCAGGCACATATGTACTATCATTAATGAAGAAAAAATTCTAATTCAAAAAACAGTATTTCCAAGGATGTTTCCAAGAGTGTAAGAGTGTTTCCAGAAGAGATTAGCATTTCAATCAGTAGACTCAAGTTCATTCTCAAGGTGGGAGAGCACAGTGTTGTCTGTTGATCTGAACAGAACAGAAAAAAACAAAGGAAGGGCAAATTTGCTCTCCCTCCGTGAGCTGAGACATCCATGTTTTCCTGTTCTTGGACATCAAAGCTTCTGGTTCTCAGGCCTTTGGGGTTAGACCGAATTATACCACTGGCTTTCCTGCTTCTCCTGTTTACAGACAGCGGACGGTGGGACTTCTCAGCCCCCAAAATCATGTGAGCTGATTCCCATAATAAAAAAAAGAAATGTATGCAACTGTTTGTTTCTCTGGAAAACCTGATTCATACAAATACTTTCCTTTTATTTGTTTCTTTCTGTTGTTTATTTCAAGAGAGAAAGAGGGGCACCCTCTTACAGCGTCTTCACACTGTGATCTTATCCCCAGCCAGCCTGTCACGTGCACACATCAGGCATGGAGAGAAATCTCGGGGCGCGAACCCAGACCTTCTTATATGGCCTCAGCATTATGGAGTGTTACAGTTCCACGGTGTCACCATGGCTGGCCTTTCGCGAGTTTGAAAATTTTGGGGGGTTGGCTCTATGGAATTCTGGTAACGTGCGGCTCGAGAAGCTGGATCTCACATGGTGACCTCGATTAGAATTCTGGGCCAGGTCGGCCTGCAAACACTAGCTATCCCCCTGAGTGCCCAAAATGTAACAGGCTAGAGGCGCAGAGGAAGGGGAACACAGCATGATCAGATCCCGCCCATCTCTCTCTCCCCCTCACTCAGACATGTGTGTACTCACGCTTTATTATGAATCATCATCATAAAACAGCTTTTAAAAAGTTTTTCTTTTTCTTTTTTTTTTGGAGAGATTTTCACTGTAGGGCGTGTGCGCTCGCCAGACAGACAGAGACATAGAGACAGAAAGCGAGAAATCACCCCCCAAGGGGGATGGTCACGCCGCAATCCCTTCTCCTCCATTCTCCTCTCGGGATCTTGGGCACGCACGCACACGCGCCCGGCGTGAGTTTTAAGCCACCGGGTCCGGGACATGAACCGCGGTCGACTACATGGGAGTCCAGCGACATAGCCATTACGCTAACTGCTGGTTCCCAAGTTTTGCTTTTTCATGCTCAGATTTTTAATTAACCTGGAATTTACTTCATGAAAGAACACGCATGCATGTATTTACACACATGAGTGAGTGAGAACCCGCAGCAGGGTCTCAAAATACTGCAATTCCCTTTCCACAGCCCTTCAGCTTCTTGGGATCTTGGATGTCCACACAGGTGCTTCGAGTGTTTCAGGCCAATCTGGGGATCCAAACGGGGGTCAACCTGGTGGCTTTTAGCACCGCAGCACACAATGGACTGCACCAGGCTGGAACTGGATAAGGATTTGTTTTTGTTTTGTTATAGAAAATCAGTTCTCCTACCACATATTACACATTCACCCTTTGCCACTGATTTGTGAATCCATGCTGTTCATGTACCAAGACCTCACAAAATTTGAACTGTTTATGGGCCCTGTGTTCTGTTGCATTCACCTAGGGGTTGATTCTGCATCAATATCCACTGTTTTAAGTACTCTAGACTTACACCTTGGTTTCTGACACTTACTCTCCTTTTTCAGAACTGGGTTTGGATTGTCATAGTCATTATCTTCCATTTGAATTTAAGAAGTATTTGCCAAAGGGCTCCCCCAAAACATTTATTGGGCATTTTTGTTAGGTCATGTTGAATTTATAAAGCAATCTGGGCAGAATTGGCACTTTGAGACTTCCCAGTGTTCTCTTCCATAAACATGGTTTATTTAGCTCTTCTTATGTATCCTTAAAGATGTTTTTATAGCTTTTAAATAGGAGCTGGCATTTTCTAAGTACCTTATTTGTCTTGCTAATGTAAATGCTCTCTCTCTAACATTGTGTTACACATGCTCTAATTAGTTATTTCTCCTACAAGGAAAAGTTACTGTTTTGTGTTCAGCTTGAATTCAGTCACCTTGCAAACACCCATCTCAGTTCTACCACTTCTGGGGTTTTCTTGTAGTGTGGGACTAGCCCTGCTAACCCAGTGCTATGCTGTAGCAATAACCCTAGGCTTCCTCGTCACACTCCCGACTTCCATGAAAATGTTTCAGAAGTTCAACCACAGAGAACAACTTTACTATGGGCTTCTGGGAGGCAGCCATAGTCACGTTCCAAAGGCTCTTTCATTCCCAGGCTGCCCAGAAATTTTATCATGAGTGGGTGCTAAATTTTGCTAAATGCCTTACCTAGATTTAGTGAAATGATAGTGTTTTTCTTTGAGCCTACTGATGTAGTGATTAGATTAATACATTTTTTAAAAGAATTATTTCTTTTTATTTATTATTAATTTTTAAAATAATTGCTTTATTTAATTTTATTTATTCATTAATTTATTCTTAACTTGAGCAGAGAAAGACACAGAGAGAGGAAGAGAGAGAGAGGGAAACTAAGAAAGCAAGCCACCTGGTCGGGGACTCAAACCGTGGTCTGCCATGTGGAAGTGTCCATCACCTTAGCCACCATGCCACCTGCTGGTCCCTATTATTATTATTTAATTTGACCATGCTCAGATTTTTAAATTTTTTTAGAGAGAGATTTTTGCTTGCTGGAGAGACAGAAAGAGACAGAGACAGAAAGCAAGAAATCATCCTGCAGGGGAATGATCATGCTGCAATCCCTTCTCCGACAATCTCCTCTTGGGATTTTGGGCATGCACGTGTATGTGCCCAGCATGAGTTTCAAGCCACCTGGTCTAGGACTCAAACTGCGGTCAACTACATGAGAGTCCAGTGACATAACTACTGCTTCATCTGCTGGTCCCTCAGATTTTTAATTGATCTAGAATTTACTTTTTTTTTTTTAAAGAGAGATTTTTGCTATAGGGTATGTGCACTCGCCAGAGAGACAGAGAGACAGAAAGCAAGAACTCACCCTTCAAAGGGGGATAGTCTCGCCACAATCCCTTCTCTTCCATACTCCTCTCAGGATTTTGGGCACATGCACATACGAGCCCAGAATGAGTTTCAAGCCACTGGGTCTGGGACTCAAACCATGGTAGACTATGTGGGAGTCCAGCGACATAACCATTACGCCATCTGCTGGTTCCCTGTTTTACACTCTTAAGAGTTTTCCTCAATTCCATCTTTTAACTAAGTCTCTCTTTAAATATGTATAGCCTAGTAATTTTTTATTTCAATAACTATTTTTTCTATGCCCACCTGTTCTTGTTTCATTGCCTTCTGATCTTATTTTACTTATATCAGTCCCTCTATTACAGCTATAGGCATTTTAAACATACTTATTTTAAAGTCTTTTGAATTGGCCTATTATTTCAATTTATTTTTATATTTATTTATTTATTTATTTATTTATTTTTGAGAGTTTTTAGGGCATGTGCGCTCGCCAGACAGACATAGAGACACAGAGAGACAGAAAGTGAGAAATCACTCCCCAGGGGAGATGGCCATGCCGCAATCCCTTCTCCTCCATTCTCCTCTTGGGATCTTGGGCACGCACGCACATGTGCCCGGCGTGAGTTTTAAGCCACCGGGTGCAGGACGTGAACTGTGGTTGACTACGTGGGAGTCCAGTGACATAGCCATTACGTTAACTGCTGGTCCCTCAATTTCTTGATATAAATTCTATTTGTTAGATTTGTAGGTTCTCGCTTATAGGGCTAGGCCACTTCAAGTGCTTTGTAATTTATGTTTAAGAGCTTATCTAGGGAGCTTTATCCTTCTGCGTTCTTTCCTGTCAAATGGTTTCTCTGGTCTGTAATTCAGCCTAGGCAGGTGCTGGGATATGAGATAAGCCTCAAATTAAGGCTCAAAGCTCTTGCCTCATTTAGACAGTGTGATTCCAGACCCTGCATCAGCTCACAGAAAAGTCTCACATGTATACGTGCTTCCTTTCCGCCTTGACTACAGGCAAGTATAACATTTCTGACTGCAGTCCTAGAGTATAGTTCCCAAATAGGGGTCACTGGAAGCCATAATACATTTTTCTATGTAAAAAATAGAAAAATGTGTCATGACTTTTCCAACAACCCAGTCGTTACTGCCTCTTACATTTTCTCACCCCAATAATGTCAGGCTAAGTCATGTGATAAACTATGTCAACAAAACGTAAAATAAAAATGAAGTGTGATGCTTTGGCAGAAACTTTAAGAGTCTCATGCTTCCACTGTCTTCTCATTTTCTTTGACATAAGAACGACAACATCCCAGATAAGGATAGCTCCTTCATCCCGGATCCAAAACTGAAGAGGATGTGGTAGAGTCATAGCCAACCTGTGAAAAGACATGTAACATGAGCAAGAAGTAGACCTTCATGGTTGCAAGGCATTACAGCTTATTTCATTTAGCATAAAGTCTTCAAGGTTCACTCATGATGGAACATGAATCAGAATTTCATTCCATTTTAAGGCTAATATCCCATTGAACGTACATAGCGCATTTGTTTATCCAATCATCTGTTTATAGACACTTGGGTTGTTTCCACACGTCAGCTATCATCACTGCACTTTCCTCATCCAGAAATAGCGAAATATGTGTTCTAGAAAAAGAACTGAAATATTACACAAAAAACACACACTACTAATGAATGCTTGTTGGGTTCAATTTGGAACGGAAAATACTTTCACTCTTCATTTTATATAGTCCTATATTAAATAAAAAAAATAAGTCTTAAAATACATGCTTCCTTTTCATCAGAAGTGGGAAATCCAAAAGAGATAATGAATCATCACAAATGTGTGAGACTTTTAAAAATTGTGATTAAAAACATATATTATAAACTTTACCATCTTTGCATTTTTAAGTGTGCATGCACATGTGTGTTCTTTTTTTAATTATTAGGAAAGACTGGAGTGTCTCCACTGGTTGTCAGTTAGTCATAGACTCTCTGTAAGTGAAGAACGGCCACTATTAAAATTTAAAATCAAACCATGGGAAGCTGTATATGACTAAATGAGACTCTTGCACATAATACTTTTCCCCCTCCTTTAATAGTCTTCTGTTTCAGATTTTATGGCTCATAATGATTAATGATTATTAGTAATAATCCTCTTTGAACAAAGCTGAAGCTTATCACAGTAGCCCATTCCCTGAATCTAAATGTGATTAAGGTTATACTCAATTTCAGCTACATCATTTGTAGTGAAATTTGTGTTACTGCTCTTGGTCTTTAATTGAAAATGCTACTGTGATTTTATCTGTTCAAATGGTCTAACATTGTTCCTGACAGGCTCATGGAAATTCTCATTCGCTGCTATTTCCTAGGTGGTTAGAATAAAGTTCAAATGGCAGCAAAAGGTAGACTCCAAGAAATGGAAACTTTGAATCAATGGTTGTCTAAATGAGAGCTGGAAGGCTTGGCCTTCGCACTTAGCTACTCCATATGACTTGAACTTTCAGTCTTCTGATTAAAAGTAAGACCAGCAGATAGTGTAATGGTTATGTCGCTGGACTCCCATGTAGTCGACCACGGTTCGAGTCCTGGACCCAGTGGCTTAAACTCACGCCAGGCGCGTGTGCATGCATGCCCAAGATCCTGAGAGGAGAAGGGATTGCGCATGGCCATCCCCTCTGGGGGAGTGATTTCTTGCTTTCTGTCTCTTTCTTTCTGGTGAGCACACGTGCCCTATACCAAAAATCTCTCCAAAATAATAATTAATAATAATAATACTATCACTCCTTTATTTCATGTTCTGGACTTGCTGGATATAGCTTCAACAGAGTATAAAAACCACCCACAACCGATGAACAACAGCAAGGAAACAACGGGTTGTCCTCACTATCCCAGGACTAGTTTAAAGCCCAGCACTTCTCTCAAGAGAGTCAAGGCTCACAGTCATCTGCAACCAGAGAGCCCTGCACAGATGTGGGGCTAGAGCATAAAATAACGATGCAGTACTAGAAGACCTAGGTTTGAATTTCAGCTGAGATGCAAAGAGCTAGTGTGTTTTGGGGTTTGACATATTTGACTACCCTGAGACAGTTTCTTTATCCTTGGGAGGGAGTTAACATACATACTGTACAGCATCATTGTAAAGACTAAGCAATACTGTGTGTATGAAAGTGAACCGGAGAGGCTGGTCATCATCATCCTTCCTCAACATCCCTGGCCATTCAGTCGATGTCTCCATAGGGCTGGTACCCACAGTGACAAAGCATTCTTACCTCTCCAATCAGTTTAGACAATCTATTTTTTTTTTCACTTAAGTTCATTTATTACATAAGAGAGAAAGGTACCCACAACAGGGTCTTTCATGCCATAATCTATGCCCAGCCTTGGCCAACCAGGGTCATGGGTGTGAATAATGAACATGTACATGGACACCTCAGGTGTCCAAACCTGGGACCTTAAGTGGCTTCAGCATCACAGAGCGTTGTGTTACTGGGCCACCATGACTGGCACTTTGACTACTTTTTTTTTAACCAGATTGACCAATTTTTTTTTTTTTTAAATGTTGTTGGCATAGGGTGTATGTGCTCACAGGAGAGAGAGAATAAGAGGGAAAGCGAGAACTCACCCACTGGCAGGAGGTGACTGCTGGTCCCAGTGTGATTTTCAAGCCACCACATCTGGGACTCAAATGCAGTCAGCCACGTGGGAGTTGTGCCTTAACTACCATGCCACCTACTGGCCCTTGAACTGATCAGTTCTTTAGGTCTTCTAAATTCCAGGTTGTGGGACCAGCAGTTAGTGTAATGGCTATGTTGCTGGACTTCCATGTAGTTGATGGCGGCTCAAGTCCCAGACCCAGTGGCTTAAACTCACAATAAGCGCATGTGCATGCGTGTCCAAGATCCTTAGAAGAGAATGGAAGAGAAGGAATTGAGGCGTGGCCGTCCCCCCTGGGGGGTGATTTCTCACTTTCTGTCTCTCTGTCTCTCTGGCAAGCGCACGTGCCCTATAGCAAAAACATCTCCAATTAAAAAAAAATTAAAATAAATTAAAAAATAAATAAATAAATAAATAAATTCCAGGTTGTATCCTTAACCCAGACCAGCCATTGCTCAAATGTCTATTGTTAGAAACAAAATGGGCTGTTTTATGAGTGAGGATGGACCATAAAATAAGCCACTAAGCAAATGACCCAATGGGAGTAAAAAAAATAATGAAACAGCAGTATAAACTGATCTCCTTTTTGGAAGAAAAAAAATCTCGATATCCAGACATAAACACAGAGAAAGAGCACAAAAGAAAATACGACAGCATGTTAAAAAATGATTGTGTGAGTGTATGTGTTCATTCAATATACAATTTTTTGAGCAATAATTATGTGTGGGCTTCTGTGCTAGATGTTGGGGATATGGTAATTAACTACACACAAAATGTTGCTGTTCTGGTGAAGCAGTTATAGTTCAAAAGTGACAGGCTCATGCGACAAGAGAATATTTAATGAACCTAATCTATTATAGGGCTACAGGTCCCCAAGAAAGGAACATCTTAAGCTCAGACCGGAAGGATTAGTCGGAGTTTGTTGGACAGCAGGGTAGGAGAGTGAGAATAGTATTACAGATGATTTTTATTTTATTTCTTTCTTTTAAAAAAAAAGTCATTTACTTATTTTTTCCTTAATGACCATAATACTTAACAGTCCTCGTTGTTCTGTTGGTAATATCTCCCTACTCTGAGGAGGATATGTTTTCTGATTATTCCCAAAGTTTCGGTTGAATTCGTGTTTCCGTGAAGCAGCTGTGGACTCTGTACACTGCCAGGCATAGCAGATGCAACTGGGGAACAGAGCTACGCAGTTCAGAATCTTAGATTTGGAAAGAATCTTACAAAACATGAACAAATTCTCTTTGTCAAGCAACAGATGCAGAGAGAGCATTTTTATCAATGCAAGAGTAGTCAGGCCCCTGGCAACAGTCAGATGGTCTGACCAGCATGTTTTCTGTTTCATTTTCAAACCTCCAAACCAATATGTGGTTTGTGATCAGGCCGGCTAGTGACTAAAAGTGACTATAAGCCACAGCCATTGGCTAAGGAGATACTCTAACAGACACAATGAAAAGACCTTGTTCACCAGTTGCATTAGAAAAATAATTAAATGGGTCCTCCATGGCCTAGTAGTTAAGGGAGCTGGATTCTACATGGCTAATCGTGTGGTTCAAATCCTGGCCCCAGCAGCTTGAAAAACACACCGGGCACATGCACACATGCTCCAGATGTCACAGGATGGAGAAATGAAGGAGAAACGATTGTGGCATGACCCTATTGGGGCGTGCTTTCTCCCTCTTCCTCTCGCTGGCAAGTGTACACACCACCTGGCACTTTTTATTTTAAAGAATTATTTTATCTAACTTTATTTATTATTGTCTTACTTATTTTGATCAGAGAGGGACAGAGCACACAAGAGAGAGAGAGAGAGAAAGAGAAAGTGAAAAAGCAAGCCGCCAGGTCTGGGACTCCAACTGTGGTGGGCTATGTGGGAGTCCAGGGCCCTCAACTACCATGCCACCTGTGCCCCACCCCCCCAACTGGCAAATTTTAAAAAAGAAAAATAATTTGATGAAATAAAATCTAATGCTGATAAGGTATGATGAAGTGGACATCACGTATTACTGATGACACTGCAAATCAGTATATCCCAACTAAAATCAGTGCAGCAGTGTATTTGGGAACCTATCGTAATGATCAAGATTGTTTGGGCCCATTTCTGGGAGTTTTATCCTAAGGTAGGTAGGTTATTTCTGGTATACCCACATGCAGACTATTGAAGTAACGGCTGTGGAGACTACAGTAATAGGGAAAAGCTCAGGGTTCAATGTTGACGCTGTTTCTATGTTCACAATTTTTATGAGCGCGTTTATGAGGATGCCTGTAATCTGCGCACTAAGTCACGAGGTTGAGAATTTCTCCGAAGCCTCCAGAAGCTCCAGTTACTGGATCCAAGGAACACTTCTCAGTCCTTAAGCTCACCTGACTATGGAGGCATTCAACCCTCCCACCTCCCTGCTGGGCCGTCACCCTCTTTCCTCCTCTGGTCTTATTTGCCAGTGCCCAGGACTTCCTCTATTCCGTTGTTACTAGCTTTCAGAGGATTTTCACGTCCTTTTCCAAGTTAGCGTCTATTTTCATTCTCCAGTCCTGACCATGTGGGTGACTCTAGCTCAGACCTCTCCCAGGGCTCCAAGCACAGAGCCACCAACCAGCTGAGTGCTTCCACTGCATGCTGTGCAAGCTCAATTTTCTCTCTCTTTTTTTTTTTTCCTTTTTCTTTTCTTTTTTTGGAGAGGTTTTTGCTAGAGGGCACGTGCACTCGCCAGACAGACAGAGA